TGGAAAAAGGAACTACAAATGTTGTTTTTTTTGTTAATATAATTTACTAAGAAAGGCTTAGACCAATTGTAAATTAAGTGGGAGTGTTGTAATATAGTAATTTGCCAATAGGTGTCACTGTTGTATTAAGTGAGTCACTACAGTTCTGTTATTCTTCTTCGCTGTTTTCTCTCTCTGTCGTTGTCAGTAATAAAAAAGCACGTGAAACTTCAACAAAAACTTCATGCTGATTTGTACTCGGCTTTCGCCAAGATAAGCAACACTAAGACGTAGCTTTACAGTAAACTATGCTTCTCCATCCATTTACGCTTCTTTCCATATGGTGGTGTGACTCCCCTTCTGTCCGGCGTTAACGGCTGCAGTGTACTTGGCACGTCAGCACACACGACGGCTGCAACTACAGTGTGGTCTCCCTAGTGGACCAGCACGACAACCGTCTGGATTGAGCAGAGTAGGGGACATCTCTAGGGTCTTCAAGTGGGCACCTTCCGTCCTCAGTGTTTCGTCGACTAGCCCACGACACCTCAAGAGGGCTCGACAGTGACTCTGGCGTCCCAGAGTCACCCCCCTCCGTCCCCCACTCAACTCAGCCCAACTTACTGACCTCTACATCCCTCCTGCTGCTGAGACCTAACCACAATCTCACAATCCAACCATACGCGCCAACCCGTTTGACTAAGGCTGTCGAGCCCCACTGGTGCGTTAATGCAATTTCAGTGGCAACGGTTCCGTATGGCATACCACCTACCACAAAGCACAATATCTGCCCAACCACCCGTCATTCACGCAATATACACAGGAACGCAATGACTGTAAATACTATACAACCTATACAAATAAACCAACAGACTCTTCAAGTTTTTCAAGAATTCTACGAAACCGTAGCGTGGCGGCCTGTACACAGCCAGCTAGAATCTTTCCGTCTCAACCACAGCCAGTTGCTGCTCCTTTCTGCTGCTTCAGATAAGTTCTTTACTGTGCGACGCAACTCTTGGCCACTGAATCCGACGTCTCTGAGGAACCGGGTTGTAGAGTGTGCCACAAAACCTCGACAACCCACTTCCACTGGATAAACCTGGACTCTCCATCCTCGCTGTTCTGCTTCAGTGGCCAGATGAGCATACCGCAGTTTCTTCCTCTCATATGCTTCATCTACCGCATCCTCCCATGGCACTGTTAACTCTATCAGTTGAACAATGCGTGCTGATCCAGACCACAAAACAATATCTGGTCGTAGGTTAGTGGTGGCAATCTCAGGTGGAAAAATAAGCCGTTGATCAAGATCAGCCAGCATCTTCCAGTCCCTAGCAGCTTCCAGTTGTCCTGGGCGAGAATTGGTGTTAACACCTTTTCTTGGTGGTTGCTCGCCTGGGCGGAGGAATATTGTCTTCTGCGTGTAATGTTTTGCTAGAACAGGTGGCAACTTATTGGTCATACTACGCTTGCCTTCCAATGCTAAAGCCAAAAATCGCAGTACTTGGTCATGGCGCCAAGTAAACCGACCTTGGCTAAGAGCCACCTTACATCCTGTCAAAATGTGCCTTAATGTGGCAGGTGATGAACACAAAGGACAAGAGGGATCCTCTCCTACCCAGAGGTTTAGGTTCTGCGGTGATGGGAGAACATCATATGTTGACCTAATAAGGAAACTGATCCTACTCTCTTCCATTGACCAAAGGTCTTGCCAGCCCATCTTGCGTTGCCCATCTTATCCACTCTCCCTGCTTGGCCTGGGAAATGGCCTTTATACACCTCATCCTCTCCTCCTGCTTTCGCACCTCGTTGACTACCAGCTTCCTCCTTTGAGCTGGGCCTGCCTTGTGCCATTTAGGAGGAGCTAAACTGAGCCCAAAACCCCCTCTTCCATGCTGTACCTGTCCCACGATATCCCCAATTTGAAGGGCAGCCTTTGCCTCTACTACAGCCTTCTTTGCTGACCACTTTCTACCAGTTTTTAACACAGGGGCTGCCTCCCTTACACATTTGTCACGTGACTCTACTAAGGTCATTTCCAGCCTGACCTTGGCACACTTAAACTCCTTGGTTAAAGCAGAGACTGGCAGCTGCAATATTCCTTTACTATAAAGTCCCACTCTGCTGAGGCAGCGTGGAACTCCCAACCATTTCCTGATGTATGAACTTATTAACGCTTCCAGCTTATCCACTGTTGTCAAAGAAACCTCGTACACAGTCAGTGGCCACAGCAGCCTCGGCAGTAGACCAAACTGAAAGCACCAGAGTTTTAGTTTGCCTGGTAGAGCACAGCTGTTTATGCTCTTCAACCCTTCCACTGCTTGTCGTCTAACTTCTCCCACCCGAACTGTGTCCTTTAGATCCCCATCTTACCATCTCCCAAGACTCTTCACTGGCTTCTCAGAAACTGTTGGTATTGCCTCACCATTAATGAAGAATGTTTTATCTACTACCTTTCCTTTAACTATCGAGATGCTCTTTGATTTAGAGGGCTTAAATTGCATTCGTGCCCATTCAATATTATCTGTTAACTTCCCCAATAACCGATTAGTGCAGGCTACTGATGTAGTCATGGTTGTCATGTCATCCATGTATTCTCTGATTGGTGGTAGTCGCATCCCAGAAGCCAAGCGCTCTCCTCCTACTACCCATCTTGATGCCCTAATGATTACTTCCATTGCCATGGTAAAAGCCAGTGGAGAAATGGTGCATCCTGCCATTATTCCAACCTCTAAGCATTGCCATGCGGTGCTGAATTTTGGAGTTGAGAAACTAAATTGCAAATCTCCAAAATAGGCTTTCACTAAATTTGTTATTGACATTGGTACTCTGAAAAATTCAAATGCTGCCCAAAGAAGCTCATGTGGCACTGAACCATATGCAGTAGCCAAATCCAGGAATGTCACATGGAGCTCCTTCCTCTCCTTTTTAGCTGACTGAATTCGTTGCCAGATAACATTGATGTGTTCTAAGCATCCTGAGAACCCTGGAATGCCCGCTTTTTGAACTGAAGTGTCAATGAAGCCATTCTTTAATAGGTAGGTGGACAATCTCTGGGCAATAATGCTGAAGAAAATCTTACCTTCAACGTTTAATAGTGAAATAGGATGAAACTGACTGATGCTTGTAGCATCTTTTTCTTTAGGTATAAAGACTCCACCTGCTCTGCGCCATGCTCTAGGTACAACCTGTTTTTCCACTTTTATCAATTTCCACAGAATTCGCAGAACTCCTGGAGCACTCTTGTACACTCTGTACGTAACTCCATTAGGCCCTGGAGATGATGAAGCCCTTGCCTTTCTCACAGCCTGCTCTAATGAACTGTCCCTTTAATTTGAATGAAGAATGTAATATGAGAAAGACATAGAAAGTGAGATGCAGTTTTGTAGGTTCACAGTCTCGTGTGCAGGTGTATCTTTGCCCACAACATGTTAGTGTGAATATGAGTGTGTGTGTGTGAATGAAATATGCGTACGGACAAGCCACTGCGTTTCAAAGTGCTTCCTCAGCAGATTCCAAACCCTTGACCCTCTCCCTCCACCTCCTCTGCCTTTCGCTCTGATGTTTGTGGTTTCTCTGGCTTCAAACACATCCTTATTACTGCCTTTCTATTGCCCTCAGGATTTGCTGTACATTCTCAAAAGTATTTCTTTTTTTCTCATTTGACATAAAATCATTATGACATGCAACAACCCTCAAAGACCATACAGAGTTGAACTCCTGTGTGAAAAGAAATATTATTGTGAATTTATTCTTTATTGTAGAAGTTTTTTTAAAAGTTTAATATTTCGTGCTGCCTTTCAGAGGAACTGTCTATTGTGCAGACAGTGACGGATGACTATTCCAGTTAAGTCATATGAATGGTATCACAGCTGTATGCTGTGTTTCACAATGTTGTGAAACGCTAAAAACATTCTACAGTGTTTAGTTTTGTACTGAATGTCTTTAAGCGTGTGGGTTGTGTGAGTAGAATTTAAAAACAAGTAAACCAACCCATTTTAAGATAAATCTTTTATATTTGTAGCATGTAAAAAAAAATTTTTTTTAACACTTTACGACTGGGAGTGGTTGGATTTTCCCAGACCCTCTTAATGCACGAGTATCTGGGACTGTTCAACCACTCCCTTAGTCTTAAAGTTCATAAAATGAAAATTCTGTCATCATTTACTCACCTCATGTTGTTTAAAAAAAGTTTACTAAAAGTAGTCCATTGTGCACTATTTTCCAAATCTGAAGTCTACGATATCTATCAACATTTACTAATACATTATCAAAATCAAAAGTATCTGTTAATATTATTCAATGGGCCTGAGCTGATATGAATTAACAATGACAGTTGTATTTTTATTAACTAACATTAACAAAGATGAATTATTACTGTAACAAATGTACTGCTCGTTGTTAATTTATGCATTAACTAACGTTAACTAATGGGACCTTGTTGTAAAGTGTTACCGATTTATTTATGAAAATTTCCGTGATTGAGAATAATATGGGCTTAGGTAATATCTAGTTAAATATTTATATTCTAAGTCTAACATTTACTTCAGATTACAAAGGAATGTTTTATTAATGTTTTGACTCTTCTTGCAGACGCAAGGAGAGCTGTTTATTTTTTAGGGTTACAGACTCATACAAACATCCGTAAATAGTCCTTTCAGACATAAGTGATGCAAATTCAAAATATTGGTGCTACTCGTTTTCCCCTAAATGCTTGCTGACAAAGAGCTTTTTTACAAACAACTGTTTGGTTTGAAACAAGCATTGCTTGGCTGTCCCTGCATTCCTCTATATTTCTGTGCATTACTGTATATTTCCTATATTAGGAACTATTATTACTTCATATAAAGCACCAAGCCTGTCAGATTAAGTGCCTGCTGCTTTTTTCAGAGCTTGTAAACAGGGATTTCTGAAAACACTGATAATATCTCTGGTCTTTAATGTAGTGGGATGAAATTCATGAGGTGACCTATATCAGCACTGTGTATTTAATCTGTACTTGTTTTTCCTTTTTGCCTAATTTACAGTTCTGGCTTCCTTCCTCTTCAGCCCTGGTAAGTACATAACTTGAACCATAAAAATATAAACTTTAAACAAAAGTGTATCAAGCACCTTACATAATGTCATAATTATCCAAAAATATACTCTACCATTCAAAAGTTTAAGGTCAGTACTCAGTAAGATTTTTTAAAGAAATTAATACTTCTATTCAGCAAGGATGCATTAAAAGTGACAGTAAAGATTGTAAACATTGTTACAATAGATTTCTATTTCAAGTAAATGCTTTCAAATTAATTTTCTGTTCATCAAAGAATCCTAAAAAAATGTATCATGGTTTACACAAAAATATTAAGCAGCACAACTGTTTTTAACATTGATAATAATGATTCTTGAGCAGCAAATCAGCATATTAGAGTGATTACTGGAGGATCATGTGACTCTGAAGACTGCAGTAATGAAGCTGAAAATTCAGCTTTACATCACAGGAATAAATTAATGGGTTAGTTCACCCAAAAATGAAAATTCTGTCAGTAATTACTCACCCTCATGTTGTTCCATCCCCGTAAGACCTTCGTTCATCTTCGGAACACAAATTAAGATATTTTTGATGAAATCTGAGAGCTGTCTCACTCCTCCATAGGCTTCTCCAAGTGACTACAGTGGCTCACTGTATCACACACATGACCAGCGTCGGCCAATAGTGAGCCTACATTCTGACGTACAACACAGAAGCGCTGCGCTGTTACACTTCGTGAACTCACTCAGAGGCCCACAGAGAAGAAAATGAGTAGTTGAATAAAGTCGTTATTTTTGTGTTTTCTTTGCGCACAAAAAGTATTCTCGTCGCTTGATAAACTTATGGTTGAGCCACTGTAGTCACTTGGACTATTTTAACGATGTTTTTACTAACTTTTCTGGGCCGGCAAGTTTCAATTACATAGAAGCCTAGAGGAGTGAGACAGCTCTCTGATTTCATCAAAAATATCTTAATTTGTGTTCCGAAGATGAACGAAAGTCTTATGGGGTTGGAACAACATGAGGGTGAGTAATTACTGACAGAATTTTTATTTTTGGGTGAACTAACCCTATAAGTCTTCTTACAAAAGCATTCAAAAATCTTACCGACCCAAAACGTTTGAACAGTATACAGGACTGAGAATGCTGCAACTACTAGTTTACTGCTGCTGTAGCAACATATGGTTTATGACGACAGCACTGCTCCATTTACTTTAAGTAATCACATATGATAGTGTTTTTCGATCATTAGACCTAATCTGTTTTCGGGAAACCTGCTCTTTGTGTGTCAGCGCTAGGCCAAAGTGATGGCAGTGGCGTGGTGGTGGCCATGTACAATATCAGCGCCCCCCAGGGATCACAGGCGATATTGCAGTGTCATAGTCAGCGCATGGTATGGACCCAAGACCGCCTAAAGGACCGCCAACGGGTAGTGCACTGGGATTTACTTCGTAGTGGCCCAGACCATGCAATGGAACGTGTTTTAGACATGTTTTCTGCTGGAGACCAGCGCATCTACAATGGCTACAACCAGGGACGCATTAACATGCCCAAGACTGCTTTTAAGGATGGTAACTTCTCATTGGTAATTAAAGGTGAGATACTTTTGGGCAACACAAATGTTACTTAATATCACAGTTAATCAATATCTCTATATGTAATACATATACTGTATGTACAATACATATTATGTAGGCCTATGTCCATTTGGAACACTCTAGAAACTGCCTAACAACCACGAGAAAACTTTAGCAGCCATCTAGCTATATAACTTTCAATCCCTTCAAACTGCTCAAGTATTCAAAAATAAGACCTATATAACGTTCACACTTCAAAATAACCTTCAAACTTTAAAACTTCCAGGCAAAGCCCCAATGTTTATCTTGTAGATAAATTAATGCATTTTGTCTGTGTTCCTTCATACAGATGTTGCAATGAGTGACAAAGGAATCTACTCCTGTAACCTGCATCATCATTACTGCCACCTGTATGAGTCAATCAAAGTTCAGCTCAATGTCACCAAATCAGGTTGGTAAACTCACTTCATATTTTAGAGTTTTTGTCTGGCTATTCTTGGCATTTAACCTGCCTCTTGACTCTTGATCAAACGGTTCGAGTTCATGCCAAATAAGGAGCTGTGTGACGATTAAAGAATTGAAAGAATGTGAAGGCCGTTTGAAAAGAAAATTTTGCCCTCTCTTGGTTATCTCCATTCACCAACTTAAAAAAAAATGTTTTAACAAAAAATATTTTACTCTAATATGCTGATATATATATATATATATATATATATATATGCGTGTGTGTGTGCATGTATTAAAATACATATATCATGTCATTTTTGCTCACCATTGTTTGAAATAGAAATCTTTCGTAACACTGTAAATATCTTTACTGTACTTTTTAATAATAGTATTAATTTCTAATATTTTTATAATAACTTTTGAACAGTAATTATATATACATACTCATATAAGCGTGCTCAGACGTGGCCTGAGTCTGTTTCAAATAAACTTTGTTTATTAAACTGTTGTATAAAATCAATAGGCCATCACATTTGCAATTGTGCTGATATTCGGGAAAACCGTACTCTATATCCTGTAATAAATATTAAAAACTAGACCTCACGGGGACATTTTTTGCCCCTTATATCTTGATTTTGGGGGGGCATTTTTATTTATTTTGGTGGCATTTTTGCCTCAAGCCCGTTCATTTCCATAATGGCGGGGCTCTTTTTCGAGTGCAAGCGGACGGAGGCCCCTTCTGTTGTGAGGCCTGTTTCAAGTGAAACACTGTGTGTGCTGCATACTCATCCAGCTGTGGTTTTCTCTCAGCACGTAAGGAGAGGCGGTTCTGGGACGGTCAGAAGGCTGTGTATGTGGTTCTGGTGGGCACCACGGTGGTTCTCCCTTGCGTTAACCGCCGGCCCATCTGGACCGAGGGCAACAGTCAGGAAGACCAACAACAGGTGGTGCACTGGGATCGTCAACCTCCAGGGGTCCGACATGACCGCGCCGATCGACTCATCGACCTGTACGCTTCTGGTGAGAGGCGTCACTACGGGCCACTGTTTGTTCAACAAAAGATGAATATTTCTGCCACAGCATTCTCGCAGGGAGATTTTTCTCTGATAATCTCAGACATCCAGCTCCTAGATCAGGGGCTATACTCCTGTCATCTCCACCATCACTACTGCGGCCTGCATGAGAGACGCATCTTCCAGCTTTCTGTGACCCCTCCGGTCCCTCAGATCCCTCAGGAACCCACAGATGAACCTCAGTATCTTCCCAATGAAGACCCAAGTAAGAGAAAAACACACTTTTTACTTCATAAGACACTACTAGTAAAAGAACTGCCAGTTTTGTACTCGCATGCTTTTTCTTTATTACTATTTTCAATATTTTAGACTTATGATATGGTATGGAAATTCAATGACTTGTTATTTATGCTCGACCAGGCTGCATTTATTTGTTCAAAAATACAGTAAAAACAGTAAGATTGTGAAATGTTATTATAAAATATTATTACAAACAAACTGTTTTCTATTGTAAGTATTTCTGTGATGGCAAAACTGAATTTTCAGCAGCACATAATATGTATAAATAAATCATTCCAATATGCTGATTTGCTACTCAACAAACATTTATTAATATTATCAAAGTTGAAAACAGTTGCTTAACAGTTTTGTGGTTTTTCAGGATTCTTTGATGATTATAAAGTTCAAAAGGACAGCCTTTATATGAATTAGAAATCTATTGAAACATTTATAAATGTCTTTACTGTCAATTTCTTATCATTTAATACACCCTTGCTAAAACTATTATTTATTTATTTTTATTTTTAATTCTCATCATGAGCAGCATAAATTCAACTACCCTGCCAACATTGTAGGTGTTATATGGGCTTGAAATATGGGCCCTACACGGGTTTATCCATGGGTTCTATGTCGGCCCTACCTGAATAAGCCCCAGAATGGACAAACCTATGTAGGGCCTATATTTCAAAGCCATATTATGTCTACATTGGCCCCACCATTAAATGTTGCCTGGGTAGTCATGTGCTGTCTCTGTCTCAAAGCACACAAGGGATTTTCCAGAAATTATCCCAATTTATCACAGAAAAGTTGCTGCTGTCAGGAATTCTTGTTTGTTATTTGACTCGTTATGACTTGTTTGCACCTTCAGATTCCAGTAAATATTTTTCTTGTGAATGCATCTCTGTTGTTCATAAAGGTTGTCTAAAATGGTTTTCTAAATGCCAGTGCAGACAGGTAGGACAATAGAGCGTCCGTCTTGGAGCATCTTCAGCATGTTTCCGAATATATCTTTGCAACTCAGAGCCCCGGGCTAGGGAGTTCTCCTGATTTACATTTGTCTTTCTTTCTCTGTTGATGTTCTTGGTTTGTCATTTGCTTGTATTTACAAGAGAAAGAGGCAAGAGTTGATGCTTATTACTGGTTTAGTCAACACTTGTTTTACAGAACAGTTTTGTATACTTTGTCAGCATTTATTAAGCCAAAGAAAAAACACTCCAATTTTGTTTCTTCTAAATTGAATCTGTATTGACTAAATGACAAACATGTATTTATGAGAAAGAAGAGAAGGAGAAATGGATGTAATCACAAGGCATGAACTCAAACAAACAGTCATGACCTAAAATGGTCTGAGGTAAGTCTGAAGATCTGGTTACCCTTCTGTCTGGGTTCACGTTCATTGAAATGCAGCAGCTTCTTTTTCTTTTTGCTTCAAGCATGCTTCTTTTTCTCTCTTTTTTTTTTTAACTCGCATTCCACTGCCGTTCCCTCTCCCACTGTCACAGCTCGCTTTCTCAGTTTGAGTTCTGCTCTGGTTCGGATCATTCGATAGCCATATGTTTTCCTTTGAGGTACTGCCAGGCAGACAGGAGCAAAGTAGGATAAGAAAGTGCTTTTTTTACTTGGATAAGATGGGGAGGTAGATGATGTGAACTGTCTGGGAGAAGGAAATATATGAGGCAGAGACGAATCAATGCATATTTTTAACAGTGACAAAGAGAGTTGGGTAAAAGAAGGGTGGGGATTCTGCAGGAAAAAAAGCACCAAGAGAATGTGGGAAAGTCATTTTCTATGGTAATACTGTTTCTACTGGACCTTAGACTACACAAACCTCAGAGGAATCTTGTGGATAATCACAGACTTTTGGGCAAGAAAGAAAAGAGCTAAACACTTTCTGCACTGCTGAATTCATTATTAACAACTAAATATTTCTGCATTTGCAAAAAACTTTGGGCATCTGCAGTGACTGTTTTTTTTTTTTTACACTGGGCTGTTTTGATTTGCAGTGTGAGTGTCTGTATTTTGTTTTGTTGTCAGTTTTGTCTTGTCTCTCTTCCTTGACTTAAAGGGACAGTTTTGACATCATTAATCACCCTCATGTCTTTTCAAACCATTATGACTTTTTCTTTTTGTGTGAAACACATTATCATAAACATAAAAATATCATCAAAATAGTTCAAACAACTTACACACATTATTCAGAGTATTATGAAGCCGTATGATAGCTTTTATTTTCACACACTCTAAAATCTGAGTCATAATTAACTGAAAAAGTCTCACTGAAAAAAAAAATCTCCTTTGCATATTTGTGAAATGAGTTGCAATGGCCGTTCAACGAATGAGTCTTTTTAATCATTCTTTTGATTATCTTTTTTAATGAATCGGCCAGTCTGGTGAATTCACACCAGTCTGAATTATTCGTTCATGAGTTTAAGTTCAAATGATCCAGTTGCAGTGGTTAACAGCTCACTGGAGGGGAAGATAATCAGTGAAAAATTACTCAAAGCAGATCGTGTGATGCTTTTAACGATGATCGAATGTTTATTTGTTGGCTAAACTATTCCTTTAAAGCGTCAGATTTCCTCAAGACACCCTTAGCTGTGTTTATATGTTGTACAGTGTGCACTGTGTTTACAAATGCCAGTCTGTTTGACTTCCAAGCTTTTAACTTCTGCTGCTTCTCTTTGTGGTTTGACTTATTTATCTGCTATTTTTTCCCTCTTCCGTTTCTTAAATTTTCCTCTTGATCTGTCTTGCCTGTGTTGTGCTCTCTCTCACTTCTCACTTCATAGTCTTCTCCTTTTTTTGGCCATTCTCTCTTTTTAACCTACGTCTTCATCCTTTTTGGAGTTTTTTTGGACAGCGTCTTGTTTATCTGCAGGAAAAGGGAAGTTTGCTTCATCTGTAAAGCATCTGGCCAGCTGTTGCTAGAGCTCAACATTAGACAGTGAGCCATAGGGAGGAGACTGTTGTAGATTTAGGTCAGCCCACCCTCAACATCCCCTCATTCCCCCTTCAACCTTCCCTCAACCCGTTCTTAAACCAACAGAAATGTGTCAGTCCTTTTCTCTGTTTTATCTAAGCATGAAGAAAAAGACAACTGTCTGGATCCAGCATAGCCATTACATAAAGTTATAAAGTAAACCTTTTTGGACTTTCCATAATTCTGTTTATCCTCTTATTATAGTCCAAAACTGTTTTAAACCAGGTGGTTCCAATCATGTAAATCACTCGCTTAAAGCTTTCACGAGGATCTGGCATATCAATGATTGTTTAAAAGTTGCAAGGTTTGAGCATATTGATGTTCCCCTATGGTCTTTTAAGCAGGAGAGTCCAAGACACGTCCCAGTGGAAGTCCTGATCTGGATTGCTTGGCCCATAAATGCTTGTCTTTTATCATGAGGCCAAACTCAATATCATCATAAGCTGTTCTTGAATGCATCTGTTCATGGACAGTCAGGAAATAGTAAAGATTGTTTCTCACGATCTGGGAGATGTCTTGTTTCTTTTGAGCAATTATTATTATTATCTGTGGGTCTGAAGCTAAGCAAAACACATCTTTGCAACATAACCATAGGGAGATACTATTGTAAAGAAGCCTCCTTTGTGGTTTACCAGAGGTGAAAAATACAGAAATGAATGTATTTCTAAATTTTGTAGTTGCCATTTAAGAGAAAAATACTTTTAATAAAAGTAACAACAACGCAATATTGTGACAAAACACACTATACTGCTCTTTAGCACGGCTCTTGACTGCCAGTAACCAGTCATATCCGGCCTTTTATGAGGTCTTCTGAAAACGAGGGTAGAAGATCCTTCAGCTGTTACTGATTACAGTAATCTACCATAAGATATTAGCCTGTGTTCCCCTCGATGCTGTGGCTTCAAACATGCACAATAAGAGGTTAAGATTGAGATTACAGGGCAGAAACTGTTATTCACACAGGTAACAATTACTTAATGGGTATGTTGGCAGAATTTGCTTGTTCTCACAGAGAATTGGTGGTACATTAGAAAGATAACATAGCAAATATCTGTATTTGGGGGTATTAACATATATAATTTATAAATAATATTAATATTATTACAATTTAAAATAACTGTTTTCTATTTCAATATATTTTAAAATGTAATTTACTCTGTGCTGGCAAACCTTAATTTTCAGCAGCATTACTTCAGTGTCACACGATCCTTCAGAAATCATTCATGCTTTTCTTATTATTATCAATATTGAAAACAGTTGCGTGGCTTAATATTTTTGTGGAAACCGCAATTCATTTTTCGATTCAAGCATTTACTTGAAATAAAAATATTTTGTAACATTATAAATGTCACGTTTGATCAATATAATGCATCCTTGTTGAAGAAAAGTCTTTTAAATATCTTACTGACCCCAAAAGGTATATATATATATATAGCTTTTATCAACCATGAAAAAAGCTTTAAAAAAAAATGATATAAAAACTTCATAGCAATAAGATCTAGAAGCAAGAATATCTCTCTGATTTTCAGCTATGGCTCAGGATCCAAACATTATAGTCTCTGAGTGATTTTCCACATCTCATAATACTTCTTTTCTAAGAACTATGATGTCATATTTAGTCATCTCCTGTCGTCATTTTAGGCTGCGTGTCTTTATTATGTCTGTATCATAGACGAAGTGGTGCAACTTTGGCTTATTTATTTAATTTATAAAAAAATTCTGTGGAAACAAAACGCCAAATTCACTCAATAAACTAAACCACACAGTACCTCCCCATTTCCCCCCATTCCTCCCTCTGTTTTCCACCACTCTTCTTAAATCCATGTTTTACTGCCAGGAGAGAAAAAAACAGTGGATCTCATTCTGGCTGAAAAACACGTGGCAGTTTCCGGTCTTTCTCACAGAATTTTGACTTCTGTTAAAATAAACAAGTGCACAAACTATGCTGCTGAAAACCAAGTATTTACATTCGCATATATTATATTTTTGTCCAAAGCAACTTAAAATGCATACCTTTAATGCATTCTATCTTTATGTGGATTTTCTGAGAATCAGTCATGACCTTGTGTTGCCAACACTGATCTCTCACCTCCAACACCTGTTCAGCTCTAGTGCCATCTATGCTGATTCTTCAGTTGTCTTCAGTTGACATGTTGTAAATATCCCTATAAATCCAGCTCCAATGAATATCTGGAAACTTTGTTTTATAATAAATAAATAATCTAAAAGTATATTAAAAGTACCATTCAAAAGGTCACTATGTTAAGATACTCTTCATTAGGTTTATTATTTGCTCTGTAGATTTTACTATCTTACTACTTTCGTTCACTGTTGAAGTTATTTATTTTTCTTTTTTAGAGTTTGGTATTTCAGTTATTTTTCTCTAAAAATTTAATTCTGTTTAATAGCAGGTTAATCATTTTTGTCATAATGTACATACTTTTTTTGTAGTATTTTATGTAATATATTTAATATAGTATCCATTCTATGTAAACTAATGTGGAGCCGAATACAGAATAAATAGCTCAGGAGCTTGGATGATTATGGTCTTTTTTTTTTTTTTTACTTTCAAGGCATGAAGTCAGAATATATATCTGTAATATATCTCCGTCTGAAGTGCTGAGTTGTGCTTTTTTTTCACAAAGGATCTGTATAACCTTAAACTTAAGCTTTATAGTAACACAGGGCCCTCTGCTGGTTACTGAAAATGACAATAAGGCTCAAATTCAAGGCCAAACTCTTGATCATTTTCTCTTTTAGACACCAATATGGTGGAAGTGCCGCCACATGTCATCAACGTCATCTTGCCAGAGCAAAGGAGTCACTTCCTACAGCAGCTCGGCTACATCCTGGCAACTCTCCTCCTACTGGCCCTTATTGTGTTGGCTATCGTTCTCCTCACACGTCACCGGAAAAGACCAGGTTTTTACCTTTTATTGGTCACTTCCATCTGTCATTTTGCATTTTATTGCTCTTATTTCAAGTGTCTTAGTTTGTATATATAATGTTACCGTGGTAAAAATAGCTCCTTTGTTGCACCAGAAAAGTGTCTTTCAACCACATTATTTGTTATTTAATATGCAGGCAATATGTGACTTATGCTCAAATATGATTTATCCTGCACTTGATTTTTTGTTTTTTTTAAAACGTAGGCCGAGATTTTGATCCACGTAAAGTTGAAAGCCCACCGCTACCGACGGTGACGTATGTGTGAGTACCCACTGATGTTAAAATGCCATCTGTGAACATTAAGCATCAGCTGTCCTGAATAAAACATCCACTGTCCTGGTGTGTCATACATCTAGGGGCCACACATCATGTGTTAAGAAAGAATGTGAGCGAAGCATCCCAGAGGTGAAGTCAAGCAACCAAGAGGAGACAAAGTTGGGTGAGTTTACATCAGATTTCCTCTCAAAATGCTGCACCAACTTTTAAAAGACTTGGACAAATGTATTTCTGTTTGTCTCCTCAGACTACAAAAACAATCTTCTGAAGGAAGCTGAAATGTCCAAACTTTGCTCCCCAAAAGCCATTGACCTGGACAGAGGTAAAATGGACCCGATCGCGATAATTTTCTGTCGTCTTTGTCTGAGAGGTTTACAGGCCTAACATGTAATTCACATTGAAAAATAAACCCCAAACTAAGTGCATGAAGACAACTAGACACCAGACAACTAGTTATCAAATGTGGTTCCGTTCATACTACACATATACCCTCGTTCACAGGTTTATATACAAATGATCAAATTGCATTAATTAATTACAGACTTTTACTGTACATTGTTAGTTCTTTTAAACTTTCTATTCATCAAAGAATCTTGTATATAAAAAAGTGTCATGTTTTGCACCATTATATAAAGTAGCAAACATTTTCAACTGTGATAAATAACAACACATTTTTCTGGAGCACAAACTTAGTGTGATATTACAAGCATACTACTATAATGATTTCTGCAGGATCATGTGACACTGAAGACTGTAGTAATGATGATGCTGAAAATTCAGCTTTCCCATCACAGGAATAAATATATTAAATTAGAAAGAAGTTATATTACATTCTAACAATGCTTCACAATATTACTGTTTTTTTTTTTTTTTTACCAAATAAATGCAGCATTGGTGAGCAGAAGAGGCCTCTTTTAAAAACATTAAAGAAATCTTACCAACCTCAACTTTTTTTCTCTGCAGAGATGGAGAAGCCATCTTGGAAATAAGCGGTACCTTGCCACTGGCTGGTCCAGGGGGAGATTTGGAAATCTGGAATTCATGGAAGAAGAATGAAATGTGGAGAGGCGACAATATGGCAAGGAAATAAGACAAAAGAAGGAGAGATTTTCTTTCTGATTTTTCAGAGATTTTTTTGTACCTTTTTTGGCTCTTGTGAAGCTCGCAGGAAGCACCAGAGTATCACCAGCAGTATTTTGGACAACTGACATATAAGACTAATGGCAAACAACTGTTTTAGAGCACTAAAATGACAAGCAAAAAGCTTAAAAAATGCAAGAACATAGTCTGCATTTTGTACCGAATTTGCCCAATGCTGCCACGCACGCTATGAGTGAGAAGTAAACGCACCCAGAATTATGTGTCCTGAGTGTCAAAATGTTTATTGGTCTGAGATTTGGGCAGTGAAGGGTTGAGGAAGAACCTTCGTATTCATTGTGGAATAAAAAAAAAATTTAGAACAGTTTTTTTTAAACTGATTTTTTTCTCCATATTTTTCAGCTTTCTCAATAGGTTTAAGCTGTGCTTTCTGAAAGCTACAATTCATAAATCTAGCATGCTTTTATGCAGACACCTGAATACCTTTACTGTATTATATGAACAGCATGATTATTAAAAGGTCCTTTTTTGTTTTTAATGAAATCATACTTGGTAGACAGTTTAGACAAAATATTTCATATTGTAAGTCTTCATAATATTCTAGACCAATTTAAATCAGTATGTTTTCTCATTTTGATATTCTTTTCCTCTTACTCTTACCTCTTACTAACCGTGTTACCACTAAAAAGCTACATTCCCCTTAATGCATAACATTACCTATCAAAATCATCTGTATTCTGTCATCTAGAAATACTGTCTGTTATCACCTTTTTCATGTTATCATTTGTATATTTTCATGTTTACTTTTCTCGTGTTACAAACCTTACTAATTGCTTTTGTCACGGTTTATTTGAATATTCCTGCATTTAATGTGTTTTTCATCCATACAGCTCTGTGCTTACAGGCAGCTTTGAGGTCATTTGCAACAAACAATTAAGTGTGAAACTGATGCTAATGCATCAAGGTAACTGTACAACATGAAAATGATTAAATTTGAACAATTATTAAAAGGTACACGATTTAACTTTTGGCCCTCTAGTGGTTAAAAAAAACCTGGATTTTGCGGAAGAACATATGTTTGGTTGTGCTTTGCCTCTGCATGAATGTGCAGTTGAATATGGTTCTTTCTCATAAATAAAAAAGAGATAGATTATCCTACTGCTCATAAAGCATTCACTACTAGGCTTATACACGAAGAGGTTCGAGATTTAGCATGCTCCATGTCAACCTTTCTGCAACATTGTGACAACAAAAGTCGCTCCTACACCATACACGCGTCAAAGTAGCCAGAGCAACTTTTCTCTATTTACGGATATGACAAAACACACATAGGTGAGCGTGTGTATGCGATTTCCCGCGAAAACCATCCTGCTCGGTCTAAAATATAAACACTTATAATAGGCTTACCATAGTTAATCAAAGACAAAAACACGTTTTGGAAGAAGGACTGATGTGGACATTTAAAGTGTTAATTTTGAACATAAAAAGTTACATAGTGTACCTTTAATATGGCTATGCATAGGAAACTTCAAATCAGTGTTATTTACTGTGTACAGCTATACAGATTATCAAGATGAAGCTATGAAGCAATTATTATGCCCATTATGATGATTAAATGACACTCAGTTAATTTCCTTAAAGGCTGCAAATAAGAATGTGTCAATGTCACATTGATTGAGGTTCCAAGAGGAATTTGCTGGGTAGACTACGGTGCTTTTGGTACATGATGCCACATAATGGATACTTGATTATTCCCATCCTGAAGCGGTTTATATTATCGATGATTTAATTTTCCAGTTCACTGCAAATGTTCTCTCATTCAAAGCAGAATAAAATAAACACAATTTAACCTCTGGATGATCTTTTGCATGTGCCAGCCCTGTACTGTAGAGCATCTCTGATGCTGGACATGATCTCAAACTAAATCTCAAGTACTTGATGTTTTTGATACTGGAAATCATTGGTACAGCCACTTGCTCATTCATGATTCAACAAAAATGCAGGAATGTCTGATTAACTGCACTTTAAAATTGCTGCAATGTTTTGACAGACATTTCTTATCATTTTAACATGAGTCATATCAGTGCTGTCAAAACAATTATCTCAGCCATCAGAACAGATTTTACTCTAAAACCATCCTAGCCATACATTAACGCAAAATATCTACCACATTGTTTTTTTAAAGATGAAAATTATAAACATAAAAACTGGGGTAAATTAGCATTTTGAGAAATTAATTGTTTTCCTAGCATGAACCATAAAATGCAAGCTAATCTATTAATTAAATTAAACAATTGAATTAAATCAAATTTTCTATAGGAGAGATTGACACTAAGGAAATATTTTTTAACAGCCATCAGCATCGTAAATCCAGCAAAGATTTTTTATATTTTCATTTTTTATGTATATTTAACACAATTTAAATTTGCATCAAATTACAAAAAAACTAGTTAACGCTGCTGTCAGGGTGTTTCAAATACAGCGTCTATGACAATAAAAATTGACGTCTTTCTCTCTTCTGACTGCCGTTATCAATCTCTCTCTATTTTTTTCCTTTTTATCAAAGTTGTGAAAACACTTGTTGAGTTTTTCTTTTGCTATTTGAGAAAATGAGAACACAAAAATATATTTAATGTAGTCTCTCATTCACCACTATAGAAGTTTACCAAACTATGACGACTTCCGCTTCTGAGAAACCCGGAAATGTGAAAAGGTCTAATTGTGTACCACAATTAATAACTTTCTTGCTGATTATAAAATAAAAAATTTTCAGTATATTTTTTATACTGAAAAAAATAAAGTTACGTTTAAATGCATTCGTATGTACCATTTGAACTCTTCAAATTCGAATTTCCATTTTTTAAGCAGTTAACACGAATTTAAAGAAGCACGTTTTTTTTAACGTTCCATTTGAATGTTTCCGGTTCAGGTCTTTTGTATGTGCATCGTTAAATATAAAGCTGTTTTACTCAAGATACCTTCAAGAGCGATCAAAGATGAGCATAACCGATGTATGTCCATCGCATATGATTGATCATTGATGATATCTAAAAGTTTTTTTTTCTTTTTCTCACAAACATCCGGATATTAAAATTGAAAAAAAAAAAAAATGCGAGGAATAAAAATAACTACCTAGGTTATCAGATCGCCGTCATTTCATACCGCTGTTAACACTTCCTCCAACAAGCGAGTGTGATGATGAGACCTGTCTATGGATGAGACCTGTTTACCTGTTGATGAATCCAGACTGAGAGTGCATTGCTTCTGTCTACCACGCGATGGCGGCACTGCGCAGGAGAACGGCTCGGATATTCCAGGCTGATTCTCTCAAGGATGTGAACCTTTCCTTCCTATCGCTGCTAGGCTGAAAAAGGGTATTTCTACTATAATTAGTGAGACACAATCAGGGTTTTTGGCAGGAAGGTCAATTCATAATAATATTAGATTGGTTCTAGATTTACTCGATTATAGTGAAATGGTTCAAGAGAGGGGGTTTCTTATTTTTTTAGATTTTTACAAAGCTTTTGATGCTGTTGAGCATCCTTTTATTTTGAAAACCTTACATAATTTTGGTTTTGGAGTAAAATTTATAAATTTAATTGAAATGTTATATAACGGAATCAATAGCTCTGTAGCTCTAGGGCATGGAACCTGCTCAAGATTTCCAATTAAAAGAGGGATTCGTCAGGGATGTGGTAGCTCTCCATTATTATTTATAATGGTTGCAGAGTTACTATCGATATTGATTAAAAATAATGGTATTGAAGGTCTTACAGTGTTGGATAGTCATATAATTATAAGTCAATTTGCTGACGATACAACATTGTTTCTAAAAAATGAATATCAAATTCCACTAGCTTTACAGTCTATTAACCATTTTTCTAAAGCTTCGGGGCTACATTTAAACCTAAACAAATGTGTAATGTTAACATTACATGAGTATCCTTTGCAGTCATTATCTAATATACAAATTAAAAGGGAAGTTAAATATTTGGGGATTATTATTTCTAAAGATAAAGATGTTATGGAGAATAAAAACGTGTTGAATAACATAGATAAATGTAAGTCCATACTAAATAGATGGCTGCAGAGGGATCTTACAATATTTGGAAGGGTTCTTTTATCTAAAATGGATAGTTTGTCCAGACTCATTTATCCAGCCTTCTCCTTGCCCATATCAACACGAATGATTAAATTAATAAATAAGGTGAATTTTAAATTTATTTGGAGAAATAAATGTCAGTACATAAGAAAGGATGACATGATTAAAAAATATGAAGATGGTGGGGTGAATGCGATCGATTTTGACATTATGAATGGTGTTTTGAAATTGAAATGGTTAAAATCCTTCATTCAAAATAGCCACTCCTTTTGGTTTATTGTCCCCAATGCGATCTTTAACAAACTGGGGGGAATACATTTTTTGTTATGTTGTGATTTTGAGTGCACCTCGTTACCAGTTAAACTTTCAGCCTTTCATCAGCAAGTGCTGCTCTATTGGAAACTATTGTACAAACATAACTTCACGCCTCACAACACTCCAGTTTGGAATAGTAGATATATAAAGTTTGGCAGAAAATCTGTATATCTTGAGGAATGGAAATCTAAAGGGATTTGGGCTATTGCCCATTTCTTGGATGATAATGGTAATCTGTTACTCTATAGAGAGTTTTGTGAGAAATTCCAAGTACAGTGTACCGTTAATATTTTTAATAGAATGATTAGAGCCATACCAATTCCTTTAAGACTAATGGTTAGAGAAGACATGTTGTACTCCCAAATCTCCCCAGAACTGAGACCTCTCTCCTTAGAAGGTTATGATTTTTGTGATAAAAAATGTGCAAATAAAGTTATTAGAAATTTTATTTTACAGGCTAATTACCCAAACCCAATTAGACGGCACTACGTGCTTAAAGATTTTGATACGGTTGAAATAAAAAAAATTAGGAAAAATTATTTGTCTTTTCCCCTTCCTCCTAAAGCTAAGGAAGTGAACTTCAAAATTTTAAACGAGATTTATCCTACTAATGAATTTTTAAGATTGAAATTTAATTTTGAGGTGAATAATTGTGTTTTTTGTGAAAAAAATATTGAGAATTTAGAGCATGTCTTCTTTGATTGTGATATGGTGCAACCCTTTTGGAGTGAGGTGCAGAACTGGTTAAGGTCTAGGAGGGTTGAACTCCCACCTCTCACGGTGAAGTTGATTAGGTTTGGTGTGTGTCTGGATAACAAAGATTGTGATTTTGGTATTAATTTCTTGTTATGTTTTGGAAAGTTTTTCATACACAAATGCAGATGGTTTAAATCTAAACCCAACTTTAATCACTGGATGAAGGAGGTTAAACTCTTGTGCAAATCTTTAAAATTAATTAAAAATCAGAAAGCCCTTAAATTGATATCTTTTTTGGATATGTTTAAATTAATTTAAAAGTCCCTTTTTTTCTTTTCTTTTTTTTTTTGTATTGCTCTTTATTTAATTATTTGTTTGTTCTAGTCTGTTTTTTTTTTTTTTTTTTTTTCTGTACTAGCGATGCTCAACCTAAGGCTGAACAATTGAGGTTATTTTCAGAGATTTGTTAATGTACCTTGTTTGTTTGTGTTGTTGAAGAATAAAAAAAAAAAAAAAAAAAAAAAAAAAAAAAAAAAAAAAAAAAAAAAAAAAAAAAAAAAAAAAAAAAAAAAAAAAAAAAAAAAAAAAAAAAAACCTTTCCTTCCTGTTTCAGGAACACAGGCAGCAAAACCTCCGCATAGTGAGCTGCAATAGATATCTATCAGGCCTCCATAATGGCAGTGTTCTTATCCTTAGCGTTACAAAGTCGCTTACTTCACAGCTTCAATCGCGCTAAATGCGTGATTGTATTAATTTAGCATCCATTATTATAGACATTTTATTTATTGTCGCCGCACGTCTGGATAGGCAGCATCAGGAACACGCGCCGTTCTCCGGCAATTGTCCCCACCATTCTCATGGCGGAGACTAAAATCATTTACCATATAGACGAGGAGGAAACTCCTTATTTGGTGAAACTGTCAGTGGCTCCAGAGAAGGTAACTTTGGCAGATTTCAAAAATGTCCTCAGCAACCGACCGGTTAACAGCTACAAATTCTTCTTCAAATCTATGGATCAAGATTTTGGGTAAGTGAGATGATGGGAATTGTCATTGTATTCATTCATTCATTGTATTCAGTCCCCGATGGGACTGAAGCTGTCATCGTGGCAGAGATGATTTGTCATCAGTGGCACCTGCCTGTCATCTGTGATGGCTGTATCATCTCCTCCTTTGTGGGATCAGCATCAGAATACAGTCATGCTCGTAGCTGTTAAATATGCTATAGCACAACATACATCTCTTTGCTTCTTGCATTTGCATTTTAAACTGGTTTGTTTTCATGGTAGCCGAAGTTTGACCTTTAGCAAGAGGAGGGAAAACACAACCAGCAATAACGGACACTTGTCAATAACAGGCAAACAATGTCATGATTCTGACTTATTTTCGGCCAGCTTATGAAATCTTGCTTTACAGCCTTGCTAAGAAAAAACATCACAAGCTGGTTTGCTGGTCTCTCAGCTTGGTCAGGGCCTGTTGGCTGGTTTTAGAGTGATTTCCCAGCTGGTCAGACTTGGAGACCATCTTAAACCAGCTAAGACCAGCAGACCATGAGTAACATTATCCTCTCTAGTATTGCCAGAGCTGCCTGATGTGATTGTCATCCATATGAACAGCTGGCACTTTCCACAAATAGGATACAAAATAGTGCATAAGTAGTTTTTTTTCTTCTTCTTTTTTTCATTTTCAACAAATGGTCAGTGAAAAGAGATAATTCTAAAAATGAAATGTTTGACCTCATGACAAAATTGTTGTGTATAAAACACGGGCACTACTGAATATAAAGATTTCATTCATTAAAATTTGTTTATAATGGTTATATTTTTACTGTGATTAATTAAATATTAATTTATTAGATTGTCAAAAAAATGTGACATTGTCAACATTATGAGTAAATAATTTTTAGTGTATAGAGTCAAGTCACCTTTATTTATGTAGCACTTTATACAATACAGATTGTTTGAAAGCAGCTTTATAGTGATAACAGGAATTTGATTCAATAATACAAACAGAGTTCATTTTGGCAGAGCAGCAGCTCTAAAAGAAAATAGTGTCATTGTCCAGCTGAAGTCAGTTCAGTGTTGATTCAGTTCTGTTGAAAAGATCATCACTCATTAAATTAGTTCATTTCATCTATAAAGCAGTTCTGCGGAAAACAGTGATGTCATCGTCCAGCTCAGTTCACTTCTTATCCAATAGTATCAGTGCTGTTAAATCAGTAATATTGTTAAATATTAAGTGTCCACAACTAAGCATGCTAGAGGCGACAGTGGCAAGGAACCCAAACTCCATCAGATGACAGAATGGAGAAAAAAACCATGGGAGAAACTCAATCAGTTCTCCTCTGGCCAATGAACGAACACGATGTGATTTTGATTCAGGCTGCAATGCATCACAAGTCAGAAATCAGATTATATATCAGTAGCATTCAAATATTTCTTCCAGCTCCTTTTGCTACGGTCGAGAAGGTCAAGACCACTGAAGTAGGACAGGGGCAAAATCCCCTGAAGTGCATATTAGTGAAGAAGACTCTGCATCCCCTTGGACTAATGTATTATATAGTTTGATGCCTTTTAACAGTCCCAGTCTTTTACAGTAGCTGCTAGCACCTATCTGGCTTCATTTATGTGCACTCAAAAATCTCTTTGGTTTTAATGTAACTTAAAACCAGTATACTCAGATCCTGATAAAGATTCATTGCAAGGATTGTTGCCTCGGGCTGTTTATAGCAGAATGCACCATTAGATCCTCATTAGCTAACAGAAGGTCATTAGCTTACAAACTGTTTTAAAAGTGGTGGATTATTACTCATTAACAGCAGAGTTTACACCAGACTCGGGTTAATTATTGTTTTCTTTTTGAAACCATTAATCAGGCATGATGACGTAATACTGATTGCTTTTACCAATTGGCAACATCTTAAAAACTTGTGTTTCATAGTATTACAGTTTTTCTCGATTGCTTAAACACTATAACCAGGCTTTTTGAACTAAAATATCAAAACCATAATGCCATTTATCAAAAAGCACACCTATTTCACTGAACTATGAACACTATTCCCCTGTTTTGACACATTAGTCAGATTTGTTGAACTGTCACAGCAAAACTCTACACACAAATCCCTTCATTTCTCATTGCCTACACCACGTGGTCATTTAGAAAGCACTAGCATTCAAAATTGTTCACTCAAGTCAGCACAGCTTCAGCTCAGTTAGCACACAATTACCCAGGTGAAAACACTAAGAGTCAAAGTTGAACACACATCAGTCAGATCCTTCAATAGATATATAAAAGGTTATACAATCTTTTATAAAAGACAAAAATCAGTTTACTGAGTTTTGGAACAATGGATCCACAGAGAAATTAAGCAATATGTCGAGGAGGGAGAGGAAGAGGAGGAGGAACAGGAGGAGGAAGAGGAGGAGGAGAAGAAGGAGGAGGAGGAGGAGGAGGAAGGGCAAGGGCAAGAAGACAAGCAGTCTCGGATGAAATTCAAGCCACTTTAGTTGGCCATTTCCTTGTCCATGGTATGACTATGAGGGAGGCTGGGCAACGAGTACAGCCAAATCTGAGTCGCTTCACCGTCGCCTCCATCATCAGAACCTTCAGGGAGGTGTGGTGGCAAACCTCCCTGAATAAGAGACAAACATTTCCAATTGTCTTTGATGAGGTTTATGTTCTTGCAAGAAAAGGCCAGCAGTCGTACAGTCACACAGAGTGGCTGCAGAGTGTGACAGTGAAGGGAGGGCATCCTTTCTCCTTTATAGTCTTGACTCCCACAATGTTATCTTTTTAGGCCAATGATGGTATTTCAACCGTATGTGGAACATTCTTAGACTTGTTCATCATATTGTATCCTTGAGTGGAGGCATGTACCAACACTCTTTACCATTCCAACTCCATATTTGAATAAGGTTTGTGTGTGCTCTTTTACTGTCATATGATGCTCACACACATCTTACGTAAGAGTAGGAGCGAGTAAAAAATAAAGATGGGGGGGGGGATTGGGGGACCACAAGCAACATGACTTACCAGTTTTGGAAATGTTGTTTTGAATTTATAGCACCAGTGCGTAAGACTATGTTGTAGTGTGTGTATTTTTGAGGGCTTGTGTGTCCTGTCTGAGGGCAAAGTTTGGTTTTTCAGCAAGAGTGAATGGTTTTGAATGTAGAGCTTCATTTTGACCTGAAAATAGGATGTTTGGGGAATTGGGTGAGACGTTATGGATTTGTGTTTACTGTTTTGAGAATACGAGGCATAGTTTCAAGAAATGTGTTTAAGCAATCGAGAAAAACTGTAATACAAAGTTCTGTCATGAAACTCTAGATGGTGCAGGCATGTGATTCACAGATTAACTTAACCATCATAGAGTGAACATTTATCAAGTGCATGTTTTGTCTTGCTTGCCAATTTACACATTCATGCGATTTTAAACCAGTCACAAGCAAGAAGAGGCGAAAGAGAAGAACTCAATTTGGTACTTGTGCGCTGTTATGTTATGCTTGTGCGCGCACACACAGACAGCCCCGTTTCAGATAGCGTGCAAACTCCGAATTGATTCCTCTTTCAAGTCTCCTTGCTCTTGAAAGGACACATACACACAAAACTATGTCAAATACCCATGTCTGCAAGTATTTTTGTAAAGTCGTTTTAGTGTTTTAAGTGAACATAAACAGTTGAGAAAGAAACCGGATGTCTATCATTATATTGGATCTGTGCATTTGGTCTTAAAGTGACAGCTGCCTATAAATACATGCTGCTGTCTGTGTCATTAATGTTAGCCTAATCAAAGAACAAAACACAGCTTTAACAAAGATTAATCTATATTTAATTTATACAGTGAACACTATAGTGTTATTTTACATGTATTACATTTCTGTACCTGAATACTAATTAGACTAGCCTGGATGCCAGCCCGAACCCCGCCCACAACATTTTTTGGTAGTTGGGAATTATGATCGGTTCAGAATTAGTCGGGCCAATCAAATTGCCAGGGCGGGCTTTATACGATGATGGACAGATGATCTGCAGTTACGCTTACGCAATCCTCACGTTATCAAAGAGCGCTTGGGTTGAACTGGTTTCCCTCACAGATGACTGCAGCTGGAGGATTGAGATGTATAGATTCCGCTATCGCGTCTGTTGTAAAAGAAATCGACAGCGCATTCATTTTAAAAGACGAACAGAGAACTGCAATCAAGGCATTTGTCGATCGGAAAGATGTGTTTGCCGTCCTTCCTACGGGATTCGGCAAAAGTTTAATTTATCAGCTGGCTCCGATGGTCACTAAGAAGATGGGACGCAATTAAAACCCTGTGGTCGCTGTGGTTTCTCCTTTGGTCGCACTCATGGAGGACCAAGTAAAAGAAGCAACACTCATTATTTTACTACTTCTTCCAGCGTGCGTGTAGTTGAGTTCTGTTGACAACTTTGCATAGCTCATTAAAAAACACTTACTGCGTTGCTCTGATTGGTTGTAGGTCTATCCAATTGAGTGCAGAGGTTTTTTTTCCTGGTTCGGTTAAGACACGCCTCATAATCAAAGCCCTATGGAGCCGTATCAGACTCACATTCTGATTAGAATATGAGTATGACGAAGTCAGGCTATAATTAGACCTTACTTTATTTGTAACTTTGTTATTTTGTATTTATATGCTTGTAATTTGTGTTATTGTTCTTATGTTATTACTGACTGTTCACTTGTCTTAATAATGTTTGAACTTTAGTTAGGTTCGTCGTTTTGCTGTGGTATTGAAGTACTTAAAGTGTGCTTTAAGTAATAAATTGAAAGCCAAGTTAATTTTTCTTTTTTTTGGTGTCTGAAAAATGATCAAAAACCGTAATATGATCCGAACCGTGAGTTTAAAATTGCATAAATCTTTTGCATTTTATTTTATAATGGAACTCAGGCCTGTTAAATCTTTCTTAGACATCTGACTTGATCTTTTGAAAGTGATCTTTTTAAAGTAAATAAAGTTTTTAATCATCATCATCATATTTCATTTTTTTTGGGTGAACTATGCCTTTA